AAGAGCTTGTTATGCGGAGGTCTTGTCTGTTTGAGAGAGCTGAGTAGAATGCACTTCACGGCGAGGCTGTGGGCATATATAAGAGTCCGCCGGAAGTAAGCTTCGCTGCTGGCCGACCTCGCGCAGTCAGACAGCGAGGCTTCGCTGAGAAACTCGCCGCGGGATCGGCTACACTACAATACTCCCCCTCCCCACCGAGCGCTGCAGGAAACTTATTGTCGGCAGGGTTGTATCCCACATGTGAGACATAACGGGCGGGGGAGTGAACCGCTCGGCCGCAACGGGTGACGACTCCGTCAAGTGACACGAGATCTGTGGGAGAAGCAGAGGGAGAAGGAGGGTTGTGGATAAGAGAAGGTTGGACAGGCGAGGAGTGTGGTGCTTCTCGCTCGGCAGGTGCAAAGTCTTCAGGGGCGCCGGGTGGGGTGTCTGGGTCCATAGGTCCGGATGCAGGATCCTCATCAGCAGCAGGGTCCACGTCAGGAGCAGTAGGCACCTGAGGATGAAAAGAGGGTACCCAGAAATGTTGTGGGCGAGGTGGTGCTGCAAGAGGCAATGGTGGGCAGACTGATGGAGAAGGTGCGGGATGAATGTGTTCAAGGCGATGGGAAGGCTGGTGAGAGGCAGCAGCCTTGAATGCTGAAACTGTCTGTCGTAGTGTTTGCAGTAGGTCGTGACGGAAAGCAGGAGTGAAGTGGTCGAGGACAGGAGTAGGCGAGATGTCCCTGGGGAGGCGAAGGGGTTCACCTAGGGTGAGATCTGCTGGGCTGCAGTCCATGTCTTCTTTGTGGGATACGCGGATGCCAAGGAGTACTAAGGGTGGAGCATCCGTCCAGCTGTAGGGGTTGTGCTGTGCCTTGATGGCGTCCTTCAGCTGCCAATGAAACCGCTCTACCATGCCATTGGATTGAGGGTGGTAGCAGTAGTGCGGTGTCTGGAAGTGCCGAGGAACTGCAGGAGACTATGCCAGAGTTGTGACTCAAACTGGACTCCTCGGTCAGTGATGACAGTCGTGGGAGGACCGAAATGGGAGACCCAACCAGACAGGAAGGTGCGGACGGCTGACTCTGCTGTAGCTTTAGGCATGGGAATGGCTTCTGTCCACCTGGTGAAACGGTCAATGCAGGTGAAGATGTAGGTGTTGCCTCAGGATGCTGGAAGAGGTCCCACGATGCCGAGGTGCACTACCTGGAAGCGTACAGGAAAGGTTTCTAAGGGGGCCCGTGTGTGTCGATGTATCTTAGAGGACTGGTAGGCCAGGCGCTTGGTAGCCCATACACGTGGGTGACTGAGTCCATGGATGTGGTCGGTGACATGCAGCGGTGTGACGCCTGAAGTGACGGAGGTTGTGGCGTTTTCCAACCCCCGTTGACGTCGCTTCCTCGTGAAGTTGCAGGGAGCCTCACAGCGTCTAGCGTTAGCACCAAAACGTTCATGGTACTAACAGAAGGTAGGTACACTGTGCTGGGGGCTGGCAGCGGCGTCTGAGGCACGACAGGGTTGTTTGGGTTGGTAGGACACAGTGCGTGGGGCAGGAACAGGAGCAGCAACAGGCATGGAGGAGCAGAGCTGCTCGAGGGTGTCCATCCTGCGATGTAGAGACTGTAGCAGGACCCTCATGTTTTTTGAGGTGTTGCTCGTCTGAGGAGCGTTGATCTGGTTGACAAAATCGGAGGAAAATGACGGTGTGGCCGCTGAGTTGTCTGCGGTAGCATGGTGCACAGCAGTGTATTCATGGAATACTCTGTTTGCTGTGGTTGCGTAGGTCGCTGGGGTTGTAGAGTAGTCCAGGGCGGACAGGGCGAGACGAACTTCTGCAGGAAGCTTCTGAGTGTGAAGCTGGAGCAGGATAGTGTCAGGAAGCCTGTCTGTGTGGCGGGACTTCAGTCTCCGCATCTCGTCCCAGAGGTGTGCAGGCGTTGAGTTGCCGAGGGAGAGACCGGATAGGTCTTGCAGGAGACTGGTGTCAGGCCGCTGGTATCGCCTCTTGAGAGCATTTCGTAGAGCTGCGAACTTGTTGTCATCTGGGGGCTTAGTGATGACTTCTGCAACTTGTGTGGCGACTTCTGTGGGCAGGGAACAGACCCGGGCGACATACTTCTGTTCATCTGTAGCTGTAGAGCCGATGAGAGCTGCCTCCGTGTGGATTAACCAGTCTTCAATGTTGTAATTGAAGACTGGAAGAGTGATCCGTTTCTCATCCATCATGTGTGAGTGCGTTACTCCGGGGGTTACCATTGTGGGGTTAACGTGATGTAGGATCGCACTAGGATGGAGGTGAGAAGGGAAACTCACGTGATACGTGATACGGGTAGTCCCCATTAGAGGTTCACGGCGCCATAAGCTCGTTGAACAGGCTTTGTGTGAAATATAACAAAGTCTAGGACTGCTTTTAGTATCCTGGTGGTCCAGCGGTTAGCATTCCCCGGTCACAGTCATGGGCTAGTGGGCCGTGGGTTCGAATCCTGGCGGGTTGAGGTGTTGAATATATATATATATATATATATATATATATATATATGTAAATCCACATGAAATCCACATATATATGTACATATGCATATATATGTAAATCCACAATGAAAACGTGGATAAGATAAATCTTGATAAAATCACACGGGAGAATGGAAACAACGGAGTACTCCGTTGTTTCCATTCTCCCGTGTGATTTTATCAAGATATATATATATATATATATATATATATATATATATATATATATATATATATATATATATATATATATATATAATATATATATGCTAGGGAGTTGCTGTGTGGTGAGGAGCTTGTTATGTGGAGGTCTTGTCTGTTTGCGAGCGCTAAGTAGAATGCACTTCACGAACTGAACAAGGGCTAGTGACAGGGGGGAAAGAGGTTGAGGGGAAGGATAAAGGGAGGATTGAAGTGAATTTGAGGAGGAGAGGAAAGGTGAGGTGGCTAAACACTGCTTGCGTTATTTTGGGTTTAAGTTGGAGGTAGCAGCCACTAATCTGGACGCGGCAAGGAGGTGGCCGGTCCCAGAATTGGGTGAGCGTCAGGTCAAACGTCAGGTGCGTGTCGGGTTGGGCAAAGAAATATCTTGGTCTTGGTCTTCTATCTTGGTATTCCTGTTAGCTTGAAGTTGATCTTTACTTCCTTTTCCTCCTCTTCTTGCTCTCCTTGCTCTCTTGGACTGTCCATTCGGAAGTGTTTGGGTCCTGCTCTTCGTCGTCATCGTGCCCTAGGTGTTCGTAGATGTGGAAGAGGGAGGAGGGGGTGAGCGTGGTTCTCGTGGGGTTCTGCCCCTGGGGTCTCGTGATGCTCTTGTTTCTTGGTAATTAATAAATAATTCTCGTACTTCTTTTCCTCGGTCTTGTTGGGGTCTTGATTCTTTTTTTCTTCAGTCTTCACTACAAGGAGAGCCGCCTTGTAGCTCAATTTTTTCTTGGTTCGCAGCTTAGCCACCCTACACTCCTCCCTCCACTTGGGACACTCCCGGTCGGAGGAGGAGTGAGGGCCACCACAAGCTGCGCATTTCTTGTCGGCCGCCGAGCAGTTGGTGTCCTGGTGCCCGGGTGTTCTGCACCTGCAACAGACCTCCCGAGCACGACACTTCCCCGCCAGATGGCCGTACATCTGTCATTTGTAACATCTTGTTGGTCTTCTTTCATATGGTCTGACTGAGATGTTCTCCCATCCCAGCAAAACGGTGCTTGGTAGTTTCTTTGGGTAGCCAACCAGTGCAGTTGTACTGGTCAGCTTCCGTACTATTGAGAGCTGGTCTCCGTTCAGCTCGGCCAGTTCTTCTTTTTCTAGATGTTCAATTTCAGTGTGGGAGATGACTCCCAAAACCAAGTTGTCCTCTATGCAGGCTTCAACGAGTATCTGGATCCCGTTGATTTCTCTTAGGTTGGCTAGTTGCTGGGCCTGTCCCCATTCCGCGAAGGTGACCACAAGGCCACCACTCACAGGTCTGCGGACAACCCTTGTCACCCCCCTGATTTCTAAGGAGTCAAAAAATTTCCTTTGGACAAGGAGGTTTAGTTGCTTGCATGAAGGGTTTAGTTGATTGCGTGAAGGGCCTGTGACTGGGTACAGTCCTACGACCTTCGCCTGGTCATAGGTCAACATCGTCAAGTTCACGCAGTACCTCGGGAGCAGAAAAGATCTTGCCTCGCCGAGGTGCAATTCTCTCTGGCACTTCACGGCGAGGCTGTGGGCTTATATGAGTCCCCCGGAAGTAAGCGTCGCTGCTGACCGACCCCGCACAGTCAGACAGGGAGGCTTCGCTGAGAAACTCTGAGAAACTCGCAGCGGGATCGGCTGGTCAGCGACAGTTGTAGGGGAGAGTATCCACTACAGTAGTATATCATACTTGCTGTCTTTGTTGTGAAAGACGACACACTTCCGCTAACCTACTGTACAGAAAAACTGCTACCACCGAGACTCGTCTTAAACGCTTTACAAAATAGTTCAGTTTCAAAGTTCGGGGTTCATGCTACAATTTTATTGTCATTTTTGTCGATAATGATGAATGATTTTAATTTTTGTGCATTTCATATATATATATATATATATATATATATATATATATATATATATATATATATATATATATATATATATATATATATATATATATATATATATATATATATATATATATATATATATATATATATATATATATATATATATATATATATATATAGCCTACATATAAATTATGGAGGACAGTGGCCAAGACCCGCCGCCGTTCCCTGTGGCCTGTGGGTGCTACTGCTCGATGTTAATAGATTGTTTGTATTGCCTGTAAAATGTAAAGCTTGATGAGACTGATGGTTGATGAACAATATGTCTGTCACAGCCATTTATTGGAAAATTCGGGCCATTGTCCCCATCAAAAAACCCCATTTATTCTACTGTCAGTCTGGTGCTGGATCTTGATCACAAGTATAGTATAGCTCTGATGACCCCACTAAGTGTACCTGTTGGTTATGGCCTATGTTTATACATACCGACGCTGGCGTAGATAGCGACTAGTATGAAGAGCCCCACGTGTGAGAAGAGCACCTTCAGGAAGGACTTACAACAGCTACGCTTCCGCCCAGGACCCCCGAAGTTCGACACCATCTTCCGAAGCTCTGTCATACATAACATGGATCACTCTCTTACCTCCATTGGTTCAAATATTGATGAAAATGACTGTACTCATGCATTTAAAGCTGTGTATGTGTGTGTGTGTGTGTGTGTGTGTGTTTTGCATGAGGTGTTAATTGAAGGTACTGAAGCTGTGTGGCGAGCACGTGCAAATAGCTAGATATTTCTATTATTCACAATCAAAATGTCAGTACAGTACAAGGTGTTGACAGAGAGGTCTAGACATTGCTACCGTCCACAAGGACTGTTGATACATACTAAACACAACTTGAAAACTACTGTAGTAAAAATAGTTGGATATGGAAAAACATTTTACAGCTTTAGCTTTAGTTACTTTTTAAAATTATTCCCTGCAATTAAAATTACTGGTATCTAATATTCCTAACATATTAATGGTAATGGTTAATACAAGAAAAATATATAAATAATAAAACTCCTTATCTCGATGAAGATATAATTATTAATAAAGAGATGGCTATAGCAAATAAACATCGTGATATCAATTACTTTGGCGGTGAAGAACAAATTAGATAATTATATATTTTCTTTAAACAAAAATTAATTGAAAAAATGCAAATAAAACCAAATGTTCAACAATTTTAGATTAAACACACGGGTAAGCCATGACATAATATGTGGTCAAGAGCAGGCACATGTGGAAGCCAATCGAATATGTGGTTTTAAATCAGCACATGTGGAATCCAACCAAGTAAGTACAAGTAGTTTTAAATTAGCACAGGTGGAAGCCAACCAATTCTGAGACAAAACGAACACACGAAAAATTCAACCAATTCCAAGAGTTTAGAAACAACACATGGAAGTCAAATATTGCGTGGCTTGTCATATATGTCATGTATGTTTCTTAGGGAACTCTATCTGTCCGTTTGCCAGGGAAGCGCAAAGTCTGTCGGTGAAGTTCTGTCTGTCCGTCTGTCTGTCTGTCTCTAAGGGAAGCTCAGTGTCTGTCAGGAAAGTTCTTTCTGTCTGACTGCCATGAAAGATCTATCTGTCTGTCTGCCAAGGAAGCTCTGTCTGTCTGTCTGGCAGGGAAGCTTTAGGTGTCTACCTCTGTCTGTTAGGAAGCTTAAACGTTTATCACAGTCGGGTGTGTACATATGACTAAACAGACGAAGTGAAGGAATATAGGCGTAAAATAATAATAATAATAATAATAATAATAATAATAATAATAATAATAATAACGCTTCACTTTCAATAGCAGTTACTAAAATGATCCATCAGTAAAGTTCCGCCCAATTTTGGTTCCTATTTTTTATAGTAACCAGAATCTAAGCTCCGCCTACTTTTAGCTACCACAGCAGCGCTTACAATTCATATTAGGTTATTGCCAAAAGTGGATGAAGTTTAATGAAAGATCAGTTGTCCGCTGCGCACGTGAGTGCTTGTGTGGCACGCAACACTAAAAAAACCTGTAAATTAAGTTGAAGGTTACAAGATTATTTTCATTCAGGGTATAACTGGCGAGTGAACATGAGACAGTTCGTCAAGATCCATATTCACAACCGTTCGCACAATGAAAATTCCTCGTAAGTGAAGTTGAAAGAAAGTAACTCTACATCTGGTGAAGTGAAATAATTACAAAAAAAAAGACATCCAAAAATGGCATTAAAATTATTGACTGAGGCTTTTATGTTAATAAAATTCTCTCACTTCTCACCAAAATTAAGGTAATGCATCAGTATTCACTACAGTATTCATGTAACTTTTATATTTTATTTTCTAATGTTTTATCTTAAGGCAACCAAGTAGGTGTATTCTAAAATCATTAATGATGAGGAATATTGACCGTACGATACACATGCTCAGCTGTGGGTTATAATGGATGTGCTTGAAGGAGTAGAATACAATAGGCAGTGTGTGTGTCGCGTTTGTGCTGGTAATGGCATGGAGGGCCCTGGTTTAGTACAATCATCTTGATATAGCATTTTATTTATCGATTCATAATTATCAAAATGTATTCTAAATTAATGAACGTGTGTGTGTGTGTGTGTGTGATACGGTGAAATTCTTTACACAAGGAGTTTAACTTATTATCAAACACAAACTAGAACCAACGACCACATCACTCTCAGCACAAAGGAGGACGACTAACACTAATGGAATAATATTCACAAAGACTGATCCAACACGATAAGGTGTTAAGGATGAGCACTTCAAGATTCAGAAACTAATATATACCTGTACAGTATTTATATATATATATATATATATATATATATATATATATATATATATATATATATATATATATATATATATATATATTTGCAAGAGAAGTTGCAAATAAAAACATTAGCCCTAAAGAAAGATGAAATATGTAAAATAATATAAAAAAGGCGAATTTTTCATCATAAGCAAAAAAAGATGAGAGGTGAATATGAGTTGAGTCTTACTGGGAGGCGGCATGGTGGCAGCTCTGAGATGAAGGTGTGTTTAGTTACAACCTGCAAATAGTATTAGAACATTTCTTATTTAGCACATCTTGTAGGAGTTTATTTAAGCCACGCTCATGATGAATATAGATATGAGTCCTCAGTTGTATACGTTACAATATAATTTTGTGTTGTGGCGGACTTGTAGGGACTAAATTATCAAAAGTATTTACTGTATTACATTACGATTAAATGTTGTTGATGGACGAGTAAAGCTTTCTTTGGCCCATAACCACATCCTACAGAACACAAATTACTAAACAAAGGCAGATATTCTGAATCTTCGAGGATTATCGACAATAACAGGGAAAAACAAACAAATTGGGAACTATGTATACGGCATTTTTATTTTGTAAATTATCCAGGAGGCTGTAAACATGTTTCTCTACCGTTGTCTTTAAATATACTGTGTGTCTTTAGGGTTGGAAACACTGAGCAACAACTGATAAATTTTAAGGTGTCAGATTATGGGTTTAAAGTCGACACTGAACCTTTGAGCTAACACTGAAACATAATATATGGGTCAACTTAGAGCGATATTAGTTGTCCAGATACGTTGCTGCTTTAATAAAATATCTCGAAGTTTTATTTCCACCTGTTACTGTGGATAAAGTAACACATCTAGTTACGGTATCCTAAAAACTATTTCCACATCATTTTGAGAAGGCAAGTTTGTGTCGTGATTCAGGTGAGTTAGTGAGTTGCTTCCTCATATGTCTATCTAGTGAGAAAGATTAATAATATAACATTTGAAAATCCATATCTTTGTATGGTGGTTAAGGGAGACGCAGTGTACATGTGCTCCGTTGACCCAGGAGACGCTCTGTTTACTTTACACTGTTGCTAAGCGTTGCTGCTCCACTATGACACACATTGGGTTTACCTCACTGTTGCTTCTCCTTACAAGTTATTTTAGTCCTCATTACAAGTCCGCATACAATTGCATCATGAAAATAAAATATTCATCACTCACGCTTTTAAATGAAGGAAATAATGTAGGGATTACATTGTAACTTCATTGGTTATTTACCCCAAAAAATCTTATTTATTAATTATTTAGTTTTCAAGAAAAATATTATTTAGATAGTTTGTTTATTTAACATTTTTATTTTCGATTAAAATTGGCTTGAAAGGCACTACAGTATCGGCTGAATTTAGGTTAAGAATTTTATTTTCAATGATTCTGGTGAAACGACTCGAGTTAGGTCCATCAGACTACTTAAGGACACAGTTAACTCCTATCTCGAGCTAACTCATCTTTACAGAGATAACTTGTTGATATCATGTATGACATATAGTTACGGTTGTGGTTACTTTTTTAGGAATTTGGAGGTTAAACTTTAGATGTATCGAAGTTATACATAATGGGAGATAATGTTTAGTACAGGAAACACCGACATAACAACAGTGAATAATGTAAGACTAACCTAGGAGACGAATGTGTAGTAGGAGCCTTACTGCACCAACACCCACTACTCAGGAATCGGGTGAAGCAATGCCGTGACTGCGGGCGGGCTCTTGTGTGTATACGATCCTCACTATGGTAACTTAGTTATGTACCTTGCTATCACCTTACCACACACGTAATCCATATTCTCTTTCACTGCTCTCCCCTACCATTAAAAATTAATGTGAATATTGAAATAAATGCCCGGATGTAGTTTTATCTGGTAAATAAGCGAGGCGAATATAATTCATCGCTGTTTTGTCACCTCCAAATTTAGTAATGATGGCGGTGCTGAGAAGTGGCAACCTGGCGTTACTGGAACGACGAAAACAACAAATTCTGCGGCGGTGATGGTGATGTCTCGCTTTGATTCTCTATTGAGTTTAACTTTGCCTCTCCTTATAAGAGACATGATTATTTTATGAATGTTCAAGGCATTATGATGTTTAACTTATATAATGCAATTAGTGGATGTGTGTGTGCGTGTGTGTGTGTGTGTGTGTGTGTATGTGTGTGTGTGTGTGTGTGTGTGACCAATCAATACCTAAGTATAGGCACATACACCTGGCAGCTGCGAACACCCTTTCCCCTCTCCCCTACTTCCCTTTCCCCCTTCTCACCTCCCCCTCCTCTTTGATGGAAACGAAAAGTATGGTGTATTACGCTATGAAAACATATGAAATTGCACTATTCTTGTTTGAAGTAACTACTAATCAACTGACTTAGGATGAGACAACTGTGGAATAGGAATTATAATAGTTTACAACTTCACGTGCATCATGACGGAGTTCATTATTCATATTTAGTGTTATGTTATAATGAACTTTTAATTTTTGCCAGAGCATTTTTTTTGTCCATCAACCTATTTAGACATGCTTGTGTTCACTATAAGCTCCCTGTCCTTTGTTCTTAATATGGAAAGTGATTTATCACCCACTACATTTTCATTTTACTTTACGCAGGAGTTGATTTTTAACCTCGTCTCCCTTAATAGCGTTAATGTAAAGAACATTAGTAAAATAGTACTGAACTTCCCCAAGCCTATTTAACCTTCATGCAGTTTGTCATATGAGCCCAGTGATTATTTCGCAAATTTTCCTAAGAAAATTCCCTTGTTATTCCTCATTCATCTTATTTCGATTATCTTATGTTGTCTTCGCTTTGTTTTAACGGTTTACCTACAGCAGTAGGTAATAAAATTATCACCAAATTCGGTAGGTATGATCCATGCCTGAATGATTTTTGCTTTGGCTGTTACATATTATAATCCATACTTTAGTTTATCCTCTTCGCCAATGATTGGCCTGTCGTTAGCCGCTTCGGCGGTTGGTCACATCTCTGTTATGTACTGCTGGCCAGAACTGGGTATGCACTGGCTCCAGAATGAATCTGAACCTGCGCTAGTATTGGTCAAGTCAGGTATTGGTTGAGCTCACACTTGGTACCACCACAACGCTGTTTCAGTTAAGATGTCATTTATCTTTATTAGACAGCCAAATTATACCTATACTATAGTAAGTAGGATTGGTGAAGTTAGGTTTTCTATGAAACTACTCGATTATACATATCATTGTCTTTTATCCTCTTCACCACTGATCGGCTCTTTCGCCGCTTGGGCGATCGGTCACGTTTCATTTCTGCATTGTTAGCAAGTACTGGGCATGCACCGGCTCCTGAATGTACATGAACCTGCTCTAGTGTTGGTCAAGTCTTGTCTTGAAAGAGCTCACACTTGGTGCCGCCACAACACATTCTGGTAGATTGTTCCAAGAGTTCACAACTCTCACTCCAAAAAAGTTTGCCCTCACAGTTTTCTGGACTTGCGGCATCTTCAATCTTGAGCTGTGACCCCTTGTGGGGCGAGCGTCCGCCAGCTCCAAGTAAGGACACTCAACTGAGTAGTGCCCCTTGAGATGCTTATACACCTCAATTAGGTCTCCCCTTGCCGTCTGTAGTATAAGCTAGGCTAGTTCAGGCACTTCAATCTCTCAGGGTATCTGAATCTAGTTAAAGTGCCATGTTGTTCATTCCGAATTAACATGAGGTGTTTAATAATATCTTAATTTTGGATCTTGTCGAGTGTGTTATATAATCATCTGTAATGACAATGAAGTAATATAATGAGTGTGTAATGTTGTAATCAAGAAATGAAGATCTATTTTGCTATGTATAAAGTAAGACCTAAGTGGTCCAGTCTTGTCTGAGTGCACTTAATTAACATCTTGTTCACTCCATATGTTAACAAATATTAAATTAGTAAACTACGAGTATCACCGCTCTATTCCTTCTATCCGTTGGTTCTCAGAAAATAACTATTATAACTCACGTGCCTAGAAGCTCGCTAGCACGCTACCTAACAGTTCACTAAGATATGTTATATTCTAATAAAAGTCTGGGTGGTGGCAGGTATAATGAGAGGGATCTCACATAGAAGAGGATTGCCACCAGTATAATGAGACGAAACTCACATAGAAGAGGAGTACAAATAGACAGAATATTTATAGTAGAAGAAATGTAAAGAGGGAAAGGTTTGGTAGCGTGGCCGGTAAGTTATAAGAACATAAGAACATAAGAAACTG